CACAAAGAGTTTAGAGACCCGGAGGCAAGGCTCTCAGCCGAAACTCCAGAAACCTCGAAATGAGCACAACATGCACAATCATCGAGCGCTCAATCGATGATGTCTAAGTCTTAAGATAGGTCGAAAATGGGATGTCTACAGTGGGCATGTTACATTCTACAGAGTAAACTTAAATTACTTAAGTTGGCTTTGAAAAAATTGAATGGTGAAGTGTTTGGGGATGTATCTAGCAAGCTAAAGGCAACTGAAGATGAAGTGAATAAGCTTGATATCTTAGCAAAAGATAGAGATTTAGTTGAGCCAGAGAAGATAAGAAAAAGTGAGGTGGTTAGTGAAGCATCGAGGTTGAGCAGAATGGATGAATAAATGTGGCTTCAAAAAGCTAGATTAGATTGGTCTTTGAGAAGAGATAAAAATACAAAATATTTTCATGTCATGGCTACTAATGGGTAGAGCATGAATGGGATTAATTTTATCACTGTTGAGGATTTTGTTTATGAGGATCCATGGAGAGTAAAGCAGGAAGTTTATCTTTAGTTTGACAAGCATTACACAAAGGAATGTAGAAGCAGACCAACTATATGTGGCAGATTTAAATGTATTAGTAACAACAGTGCAATTGAAGGGCTTGAGGCAGAGTTTTCAGAATCAGAAATTTGGAGTGCCATGAAAAGTTGTGAAGGTAATAAAGCCCCAAGCCCAGATGGTTTCAATCTTGTGTGTTTTCAGAAATATTGGAAGGTAATGAAGGGAGAGGTTATGCAGTTTATGAAGGAATTTCATGCTCATGGCAGATTGGTCAAAGGAATCAACAGCTCTTTCAAAACCCTAGTCCCGAAAAAAGATAACTCAGTAGGCTTGGCAGATTATAGGCCTATTAGTCTTGTGGGTTCAGTGTATAAGATTCTGGCTAAAACTTGTTTTGCCCGAAATTATCAGTGAAACTCAATCAGCTTTCTTGAGTGCTAGAAGTATCCTTGATGGTGTTTTGATTGCAAATGAAGTAGTTGATGGGTGGAAAAAGTTTTAAAAAAATGGGTGTGGTTCTTAAGATTGATTTTGAGAAGGCTTATGACTCAGTAAATTAGGAGTTTCTCTTTTTAATGTTTCCAATTTTAGTTTTGGAATGAAGTGAATCTCATAGATCAAGGAGTGTGTGTCCATAGCTAATTTATCTGTCTTAGTGAATGGCTCACCAATAGATGAGCTCCACCCCCAAAAAGGGCTTAGGCAGGGTGATCCACTTTCCTATTTCCTATTCAACATTGTGGCTAAAGGTCTTAATGTGCTTCTATCAAGAGTTATGGAGGTGGAATTGGTTAAAGGTGTGGAAATATGAGCAAATGGGGTATTGGTGTCTCACCTACAATTCGCTGATGACTCCTTTCTTTTTTGTGAAGCTAAGGGGACAAAAATTAGTATTATCAAAAGGATCTTAAGGTGCTTTGAGCTTGTATATTGTCTAAAAATCAATTACAATAAAAGTGTGGTCAGTAGGGTGGGCATTGAGAAGGACATATTGGCTGACTTTGCTAATCTTCTTAATTGTGAGACTCAAGCTATGCCATTTATGTATCTTGGGCTTCCTTTAGGGGCTAACCCAAGTAGGAGGAAAACATGAAAACCAGTCATAGATAAAGCAAAAGCTAAGCTGGCAGGTTGAAAAAAATCTCTCTTTTGTAGAGAGGTTAGCTCGGATCAAGTATGTGTTAGCTAGCTTGCCATGTATTACTTTTTATTGTTCAAGATGCTTGAAGGGGTTGCTAAGGAACTGGAGAGAATTCAAGCCACATTCTTATGGGGTGGCTCTGATCTAAGAAAGAAGGTTCATTTAGTCAAATGGAAGGAAGTAACAAAGAGATTTGATCAAGGTGGGTTGGGAATTAGAAGGATCAAAGATGTAAATTTTTCGTTATTGTTCAAATGGTGGTGGAGATTTGCAAATGAGACTAAGTCATTATTGAGAAAAGTAATTTGTAGCAAATATGATCTCGATGCCGGTAGTTGGTTACCATCAAGGGAGGTAAGTTACAGATACTCAATGGTGTGGTCGGATATTGTCACTCTGGCTGATTATAATCCTTATATGATGTTGAGTTTCTTGAATAATTTTAATATAGAAGTTGGAAATAGGGGAAGAGTAAAATTCTGGGAGGATATCTGGTGTGGCTCTTAATGTTTGCAATTGGAATTTCCAAGACTGTTTAGTCTCTTTTTGGAGAAGAAAGGCTCTCTTACACTATGTTTGGTTGGGGTATTTAGGAAAGAATTTGGAAAGAGAAGGAAAAAAAATAGGTGAAATAAGAATAAAATATACTTACATTTCATCTAATTTCACACATCTTTTCCCTTTCTATTTCCAAATCCCTTCCCAAATCTCCCAACTAAACACAACATTAGGAGGTTCCTTGATCTGAGAGATGCTTCAGAGGAGTGGAACTTGTTGTCTAGAAGGGAGATGTTTGAATGGAAAAAGCTTGAGTGGTTGAGACTTGTAACAAATCTATCAACAAGGCCTGCAACTTGAGAGGAGGTCAGTGACTTTTCAAGGTGGGTTGCTAATGATTTAGGTATTTCCTCTGTTTCTTCTTTATATTCTTTTTGCAATTTGGATGGGGCCACTTATCCCAGCTTGTGTAAATTGGTGTGGAATTTAGTTCTGCCTCTTAAAGTGAATTTCTTTTGTTGGCTTGCCTGGAAACGCAAGGTGAAGACATCTGCATTTTTACAAAGAATTGGTGTTTTCAATGGCACCTCTTCCATAGCTTGTAGTTTTTGTAAGAATGTTGAGGAATCTATGAATCATGTGTTATTGTATTGCCCTTTTGTTTGGGAAGTGTGGTCAACCTTATTAAGATGGTGGGGTGTTGAGCGGGCCATCGCAGGTTTTGTTGAAGGAGTATTATTCTGGTAGGAGGGTCATATTCTGAAGAAACTAGAGAAGAAGATATGGACAATTATTCCCCTTACTACCCTGTGGTCCATACGGAAACTCAGAAATGATTGTGTATTTAGGGATGCCAAACCTGTAATTTTGGAATTATGTGAGCTTATAAAAACCAGAGTTGCATTATGGTTCAGAGCGTCTTACAAAGATCTTCAATATTCTATGAGTGACTTTATGTTCAATCTTAATTAGATCAGAGCATGCATTTGTCGAGGTTGAGTTGGTCTTGATTTAGGGGGTGAGGCCTGTTGTGAATATAAGTAAGGTGTGCTGCAGGATATTGTTGTGTCGATTGCAGGTTAGTAGTCTATTGGGTTGGGTAGGAGTCTGCAAGTATTTGCTGGTTTAAGTTTTGTTTCTACTATGAGAGCAAAGTTTGAATTGGAGGAGGTTGAAGTTATGTTGTTATGTTTCATCTCTGTGGCTGGGTTGGGTTTGTCTTGCTTGACTGCTGATGGATTTGGATTTGAATGGCTGTTGTTACTGGCTGCTGTTGTTAGTGATGCTCCTGCAGGGATTTAGCTTATTTGAGTATGGATCATGCTGCTGCTAATGGCTAAGGAGTATTGGTGTTGGTACTTTTGATATTGTTCTGTTTTTGGTTGGTTTCTCACCAACTTGATGCGATACTACAGTTGATTGGGCTTGTTCTATGGTGCCCACTTAGTTAAGATCATATTTCTTTGATATGCCACTTGTGCATCCATCATTTTTATTGATGTATGTTGTAATTCATTATTCATCAATAAAATTCTTTTTTTGCTGATAAAAAAAAAAAAAAAAAAAAAAAAAAAAAAAAAAAAGATGGTGCAATTCCAAAAAAAAAAAAAAACTAATTAAAGCCTCATTTCACAATAATCTTTAGCTAATTTTTTAGGCTTTGTAGAGGTTTTTTTTAATTATTTTTTTAAAGAATAAAATTTCTCTTAAAAATACAAATAAATTCAAAAAAGCCAAGACTGAAGCCCAAAACCTTGTTAAAATGGGGCCTATATCAGCTGAGATGTCATTATAGTTCTATAGTACTATTTCAAGTTACTATATAGATGCAATGGGTGGGGCAGGCATGAATAATAATCTTAATAAAAATGAATGATGATATAACACATTAGGGATATAATGATTAATAAATAATAAAGATTAAAAAAATATAAGATGAGAGATAAAAAAAGTAAAAATTAGTGCATTCGGTATAATATTTTAGTGTTTTAATATTATTAATTTAAAAAATAAATTATATACATATTATATACACACAAAGAGGGGCCGCTCTAAAAAAAATATGTATATATACATATTTTTAAAAAAAACAGTTCTACATTTAATCAATATAATTAGGGTAAATGCACGGTAAAATGGGGCAGGGAAAGAAAATTTGTTCCTCTGCTTTCTTAACAGGATAGGAGAAACTAATGTAGGGTAGAAAATTTATTGTTTTTCTTTTTTTATCTGTATGCTATTTATTTTCATTTTAATATAACTGCTTTACATGTTTGAAAAAAATTGTTTCAATTAAGGCATTTCAAACTTCTGTTCATGTTCAGGGGTGCAATGCTTTCCAAAAGCGCCTAGATAACGAATACTTAAAATGAGACTTGTCTTCAGCTGAATTTCTCAACTTGACTGCGTTTTTGGGTCATAGTGGGTCCATCAATAATCACAATAATTCATTTTGTAAGTTTAAGTCTTTAGGAAAGACAGTCTATGCAAAATGTGGATTTTAATTGCTGTTTATTAATATGAATCATAATAATATCTTGTGTCTAATGGGTACAAAATGTGAGTATGTTAACATTATTCCTTTCAAATTATGGGGACGAATTCTTTTAAAAAATCTCACTACTACAAAATTATAAATAGATCACAATTTTTGTATGTGATATATATTATTTAATCACATGTTTTAAGTTTTATCAAAGTGCGATATTTGAGAGTGATTTTTAATCACATGTTAAAAATGGTCATTTTAATCACACGTTTTGAGCGTCATTAAAAGATAATTCTATCACACGTTTATAAGTTTGTATAACGTTACTTTATTATACAACAAAGGTACAATGATAAAACTAAAATATCCTTATTACACAAAATAGACCATGAATATGACACATTTGCATATGACACACTTGCAGAAATTACATATAAATTCAATAACTAGAAAACTCACATGACAGAGTTGAAAAATTAGTCACTCTCTCTTTGTGAATTCCTTCTCCCTTACTCATATATATGAGTATTTGTCACTGTTAGTAATGTCTTCAAGCAATAAACAGAAGATCATCCAATGAATATTAAATAATAATAAAAAATTAAAAAGCAAAAACAAAAATAGGAGATGGGTTGTCTTGATTCGCAGATTTGGATTGAATTGATGATCAGCAGAAGCTCCAAAGCCGAATATCGCCTTCTTCGCAGACATCTTCCATCACTGTTGGATCGAAAAACGTCCCATTGATCATGTCAATGTATTTTGGTGAATCAAAGTTGTACCATGATGTGATCAATGACAATGGTTCATGATCAGCTCCATATGATACTAATGAGAAGTCATCCTCAATATGATTGGAGGGAGAAGATGACAAGGACGGCGATGAGGCAGAGGAGGTGGAGGAAGAGGAGGAGGAGGAAGAGGGAGGAGGTGGCGGCGGCAATGGTGGTGGAGTGGTGGCAGCAGCAGCAGCTGCAACTCTTTGGATGGACTTAGGGGACAAGATGGTAATATCAGATGGAAGTTGGTAGTGTGAGATTGGGAAGTTGAGATTGGCTGAGGAGCCCTTGAGGCATAGGAGAGCAGCATCATAGGCTCTAGCAGCTGCCTCTGGCGTGGAATGAGAGCCCAACCATATTCTTGTCTTCTGGTTTGGTGCCCTAATCTCAGAAACCCATGATCCCCAACTTCTCATTCTCACTCCCTTATACTTCTTCTTCAAGGATGATGATGATGGTGGCAGTGGTGATGATGGTGATGATGATGATGGCATTGCTTTGTTTGGCTCTGACTGGATGATCTTGGGCTCACTCTTCACCATTGTTGGAGGGCTAGCTAGCTTCAATGTTAAGCAGATGTGAAGTTGAAGAATCAATGCCTAAGATACACACACGCTTTTAAGAAGATGGTGTATTTGTGATTCTTTGGTTGAAATTTTACAACCAAATTTGATATTTGAAGGATTACTGCCTAAGACGTACAGATACTTTTAAGAAAATGGCATGTTCGTGATTATTCTTTTGATCTTGTTCTTTTGGAATGTGAGGATTGGAATAAGATTGGTAAGTGATTGTGAGGAAGAAGAGGGCTCATATTTATAGATGGGGGTTTGGTTTTTTTACTTGGCTAGCAGATCCCCTTGGTCAAGGAATAGTAAGGTTCCATGTGTCATATGAAATGGGTGACAGGTATTTTCTAGTTATTTTATTGAATAGAATATTAATATCCCATGATTTTAAAAGGTCATGATTGAGACCCTCTTCAATCACCACCCCACACACACGTGGCGGGTGGTGATTGGAGGAGAAGGAAAAAAAAAAAGAAAAAGAAAAACTGGCTAATCATGTTAAGAGGGGGGTCAAATGGGATGGGAGGAAAAAGGGATCCAGAACATTATTGTTTTAGAAAATGACTATTTTGTCCTGTCATGGCCACATTATTTTTCTTGTTTTTATTAAGTAAAGTTATAACATCGTCACCCAATGAAAATGTTAAAATTGTGCATTAGAACATTATATGACAATTTGACAAAAAATAATAAAAGTGATGTCTAATAAAAAAAATTACCTAAAAAAAAAAAAATCTAACCCTAACATCTAACACTAACACTAACACTAACACTAACACTAACACATCCACTGGAACAACAAAAATGTCCCCTTTGTCTTACATTTTTGCTAACTGTTAGAATGTGTCCCACATTGTTTGAAATTGTTTCATCTGTGCTGATTATAAGGCTTCAGTTTCCCTCTCCGTGATAGTTGAGTTTTAAGAAGAAGTGTGGATTGAGCTTTTCAATTTGGTATCAAAGTTTGCTTGGACCTATGATTGATGTGCTTGAAATTTTATAAGATTCCAGTTTCCCTCTCCTTGATACTTGGGTTTTAAGGAGAATGGTGTGTTAGAATGTGTGCTGGTTATAAGGTTTCAGTAGTGTGTTGGAATGTGTCTCACAGGGTTTTAAGGAAAATGGTGTATTAGAATGTGTCCCACATCGCTTGAAATTGTCCCATCTATGCTGGTTATAAGACTCCAGTTTTCCTCTTCTTAATATCTGAGTTTTTAAGGAGGAGGGTGTGTTGGAATGTGTCCCATATTAAACCTGAGTTTTAAGGAGGAGAGTGTGCTGAAATGTGTCCTACATCGCCTGAAATTATCCCATCTCTATTGATTAAAGAGAAGTATAAACTGAGTTTTTCAATTCTCACATCTTACACTTTCACAATTTTTCACACTTTTACAAACTGCCTTAATTGTCCTCTCACATTTACGTTCACTTTATTTCCCTCATGAGAGAGGCAACTTTAACTTCTATAACAAATTTACAAACTAAGAACAAAATATGATGTGTTTTAATGAAAAGGAAAGTATGAATTGCACTACCCCATCATATATTCAACCTTGCATAAAAATTTCAACAAAACCAAATAAATAAATATATAAAAACAAACGTACGACAAACCCACATGGGTGTGTGGGTTAAATTTCATTGCAGTACAAAAAGGAGGAAGTTTTCGAAACAAAATATTTTAATTATATTTGTAAATGAACTTTGCTTTAAAAAAAAAAAAAAAAGCATTGTGTGTCTTTTGCATTGTATTAACGTATATTCAAGAAACACATGAATAGAGATTAACATAATCGTGTGGCCATTATAAGAAAATTACACTTTTAGCCATTAAATTTTTAGTGATCGAAAACTCTTTTTTAGTCACTGAAAGTCAATGATGACTAAAGTTTTTCATTGCCCATTTAGTCGCTGAAGCCTTATCGGCGATAATCAATAGCAATCAAAATTAAGTTGATTGCTAATTATCTTATCTTCGACTACTAAAATGAAATTAGTCGCCAATGACCACTTTTTGTGAAGTTAGCCGGCTCCTAAGTCTGTTGCAATAATGTCCAACATAGAATAACTCATCTTGGGTGGGACAATTACCAAAATGACCCTGAACAACTCAATATGGTGTAAAAAAATTTAAAAGTCCCCGAAGTAAAATTGAGAGAATAGGCAATGTCTTGGGCAGTCTGGAACACATATGTATGCCACTGACTGACCATCTAGGAAACCACATTAAACTAATGAATGCGTGCTTTAGAGTTTTTTGACTTGGTACAACAAAGTCATATGTCATGCCATATGAAAGTGACTGCTCTGAAAAATATGTGTAAAACAGATGGCTTTAGTATGAATGCAAGGGCAACTAAGTCATTTGCCCACATGGGCTATTACTAAAAAGTTTTTATAATATTGATGGAATATCATATAAATGAAATTGAAATATGTACCTGGTGCAAGTTAAGAGTATGCTCGAGGCATAATTCTCTCTTACACTCATTTGATTTATAATTAATTTTCTAATTTTTAATTTTTAAATTATTCCTCCTATAACATATATTGTATTAGCAAATTACCCCTAGCTAAAGACACTTATAACACAATTTTATACTAACTAAAACTGGTCATTCCCACACAAGAGCCTTGTTCATGGCTTGGCCAAAAGTAAAAATATAATAGAATTGTTTTTAAATATATTTTTTTCTATTATTTTTTTAAGCCTTTGATTTAGTTTTTTTTCATGAATCTTTTGAATTTTAACATAGAGATGATGGTTGTGGCTTATATAATTTTAAAATTTAAAAATATTTACTTCAATTTTTTTTTTAGTTTTAAAAAATAAAAAATACATATGGCATCTAAAAAATTATTAAAATATTTACGACACATTTATTAATTAAAAAGGAAATTTCGCATGGCACATGTAAATAAAATAAAATAAATACATATGTAATGTATATTTTTATGTTATGTCTAAAAATACATGAGAAAAAAAAACCCATCAATATAGGACAACAAATTATTATAGTCAACTCATTCAAATTTACACAAACAGATAATCCTACGTTTTTGTGAAGAAAATAAGGAAAAAGAGGAAGAGAGATGAGAAATAGATTGCAAATGGTTAGGAAGAGAGACAAAAAAAAGAAGAAAAAAAAAACGAAATAGAAGAAGGTGCCATGAAAGTGTTGAAAATTCTTTGGGCGCTTTAATTTTGGTCAAGCAAATTTAACTATTAATCTCATAGATGAATTGATCCGAACTATTCTAACTAATTGGATTAGAGCGACATTTTTGAAAACCAATCTATTTTATTATATCGATGGTATTACATGTACCAACTAATGTATTAATTAATGTACCAACACTAGTTATGACATTATTATTGACCCCACTTATTATACAAATTACAAATATAAAAAATCTCTTAAATTATACACTAATTGGTGCATATAACATTATTCTTATTATATACATATATATTAATATTTTTATTAGCCATCTCTCTTGTTTTTATTTATTATTTTAGGGAGAATATCTTATAAGAAAAAAAATAATGAGAAATAATTGCAAAAAAATTAGATATATATTTTAGGAGAAATTATACTTTTCATCGTCAAATTATTATCCGAATTTCATTTTGATCCTGCATCTTTTAATTGTCATGTTTTAATGTATTTCGGTTGTTACCTATCATTAAAAATTTGGATTGGAGAACAAAATTTATTTGATAAATACACTTTTTATCTCAAATTTTACCGTGACCTCTCATATTGTAATTTTCACTTAATTTTCAAATTGTGAGAGATGGGAGAATCACATTGAAATATGAGTAAATATCTAAAGATTTTAATTGTTGCATTTAGAGAATGAGATATCAAAATAAAATTTGAGTAAAAATGTAATTTATCTAATATTTTATTAATATATAATTATTTGCTTGTTTTTTATTGATTTGATATATTATTTTTCCCTTTATTCTATTAATTCAATAATGCAACGAGCGAAAGAGAAACATAGGATTGTGTCACAGGCAGCTTCCACGATTTTGCAGGAGAGAGAGAGAGAGAAATGGTTCCGTACATACAGCTGTGGGTTGAGTTGCGGGATTGTGTGTTTACGTAATAATAGGGCAAATTACATATACCCCTCGAGGTTTGGTTAAATTATAAATACTTTTTTGAAGTTTGAGAAATTATAAATTCTCCTCTGAATGTTATATTTACATAACAAATTAAGAAATAATTTGTTATGAAATTTAAACTTTAGAGGACAAATTGTTATAAAAATATAAACTTTAAAGGGCGAGATATAATTTCTGAAACTTTAAGAGTATCTATAATTTAACCAAACCTCAAAAGAGGTATATGTAATTTGCCGGTAATAATAACACAAACATCAAATAAAAATAAAAAACAAAAGCATCACAACAACAACAACAACACTCTCAAAAAAACAACACGCGCAATATAACAGTAACAAACACTACAGCTGGTGCTTCACTGTCTCGCAGCTCCAAAACCGCGTCATACTGTCTTCTTTCTCTCAGGGTTATCTTTTTCTATCTCTTTCTATGATCATCAAGGTACATATAGAGAGGGACACATTCAAAATAATAATAATAATAATAATAAGTAATTCAACACAACAACCTTTTCATGGCCAAAGCTTACGCTTGCATCACTTGACTTTTGCTTCTCTTTTTATGTTTAGTATTTTCAAAATATCACGTGGCAAGGTGGTGCTCCGGTAAAAGAGATTTTGCAGATATATAAGAATTTTCATTTTAAGTGGAATAAAGAGGAGGATGATATATATATATATATATAATGTGTTTTAAATTTTTTGTTTATTTATTGAGTGTATTACATAAATAATAATATATTATATTCTTAAATTGCTTATTAATTTTCTCATCCTAATTTGATGAGATTCTCTGAAATGGGTAAAGAGGGTTCAACCAAAATTCAACTACTACTATACTTTTTTTTTTTTGAGCTTAACTACTACTATACTTTGGGAAATGCAAATTGGCACCACCCACATGACTTGCCTTTTTTGGTACACAAGGTACCCTTTTTCTCTTGTGGACCACGGTTCATTCCTACTCTCAAGTTCTGTAGTAGGGCTAAGGTTCTGAGTCTCTTTTTTAGCCGGTACACGTCTGCTATTGTTTACATGATAGTTCGAATTAGAAGTGTTCACTGAAGTTAAGTTTGACATATCTGAAAAAAAGTTA